CGACTAGACCGAGCTAAAGGGTTGTGGGTGGACGAGCTACCAAGTGTTCTGTGGGCTCACCGAACTACGGAAAAAACCGCCACGGGAGAGACCCCCTTTAACCTCACCTACGGCACCGAAGCGGTAATCCCGGCAGAAATCGAAATACTTACACTGCGACTAGAAGCATATGACGATCAGACAAACGGAGACGAGTTACGCACCAACCTCGACCTACTGGATGAGGTAAGAGACCTCGCGCACATCCGAACAGCGGTCTAGCAGCAAAAAGTAGCTTGGTACTACAACGCCAGAGTAAAGAAGAGCTTCCGCGTCGGCGACCTGGTTCTCAGTAAGATGATGGTACCCGAACCCAGCGTGGGCAAACTCGGACCAAAATGGGAAGGACCCTACAGAGTAAAGAAAGCACTCGGGAGGGCATACGAGCTCGAAACCTTAGAGGGTAAGCAAGTACCCCGAGCATGGAACATCGTCAACTTAAGGCGATACTACCTATAGACCACCAAGCGAAGTGGATAAAATCGCCACCAAAGCCTAAGGGCTAGGATGCCGAGCTAACGAAGAAACCTCGGCATAAGCAAGCAAAGAAGGCCAAAGGCAAAACGGAGACAACGAACTAATAGGGACATTGGCATCTCAAAGACCACCAAAACAGGTCACGCGAGTGCGATAACGCGAGCAGGAAACAGATCAGACGTATGGTCAGTTCGGCAACTACGTTCAGTTCGGGAGAAAGAACAACCAACACTGAACCAAAAGAAAAGTCATTCCATTTCAAAGTAAGGTAGTACATTTCAAAAAAAAAAATTACAGGCCCGGAGTTACTTCTTCATTATCAGAAGACATTTCAACGATACCCGAAGGCCCTGCCTCGCCCTCGGAATCTGGCTCACCATCAGCAGCATTGGCCATCTCTTGAGTTATGTGCGAAGTGGATATGGCACTAATATCGAGCTCGGGGTACGTATTCCAGATCATCCACCAGCTTAGCTTGAAACCCTTTCGGTACGAATCCACCATTAGGTCATCAAAGCCCGGCGAGGCGATGTGCTTCACTACGACTCCTATGGCCTCGGCATCTCTCTGAGACCTTGTCTGCCTGGCCTCTGCAGCACGAGCAGCTACCTCAGCAGCTCGGGAAGCCGCATTAGCAGCTCGGGAAGTCGTCTCGGCAGCATGAAGAGCCTCTTCAGCAGCTYRCGCCTGCYTCGAGCTCCTTTCCACCTGGGCCGCCAAGGCGTGGATAGAAGAGTTCACCTACCAAAAAGAACGAGTGATCAAAAGAACGACAGCAAGAAGGATAAAAGCAAAAGAGCTCGATAAAAAGTCTTGACTTACCACCATGGCATGAGTAACAGCACGGCAGGCCACCTGGTGCAGAGGGAGATCAGTCCACGCCGCGACCTCCTCGAATTAAATGGCTTCCTTACTCTTCTGAAGAGATTAGGTCGGCGACAGCACACTCATGAATTCCCCTGGGGCCCCCGAGCCCAAGGGCCCAGCTCGCTTACGAGCAGACCCAGAGTAAGCAGGAGCACCAGAGTAGGTGGGAGCCCCCATGTAAGTAGTCTCAGCATACAAGCCCCTTGCCGCTTCTTGCATTGGAGGAGCCATCTCGAGCTCCCTGGGCGGATCCCCTGACGGGTAGTCTAGTACCTCGGGCTCCGCATCCCGGGGCAGCTCGGCACGAGTTCGCTTAGCGACTCGCTTCCTCCTCTTCATGCCTTGAAACAAGCCCACCACGAGTCCCTCCTGAGTCCATCACACCTGCAAAAAAGAGTTCGACATCAGAAAAAAGCCAGACAGAGCAAAATAGAACCTCCCGTCAGGGGATCCGCCAGATACTGTTGGCACTTTAGCCCAAGCCGCGCCCATTGCCGGAGGCCCTTCACCGTCTCTTTGTCAAGCGTAACACCGGAGTCAGGGGCGGCCACCCCCCACCCGGTCTGAAACAGTCACCTCAGCACACTTCGCACCCCAAAGTAGTCCCGCTTCCACGCGGGACATTGTTAGGAAGATCATGTAAAAGCTTAAAACCCGGGCGAGGAGACAAGTAATACGCCCGCCTACGCCCGGGGAGGAGACCCGCTTGCTTCTTAAGCATTAAGATGGAATAGAAGATCTCCAAGTCTAAAGGAAAGC